GTATTATTTGTTGAAACTGTACTTCCGATTTGATTTGAAACTGTCTCATTGCTATCTGTTTATCAATAAAACTTTGAAAAAAAAAAAAAAAAAAAAAAAAGAACTGCCCTCTTGGCCTGGCATGACAGTACATACCTGTAATTCCAGCACTGGGGAAACTGAAGTAGGAGGAATGCCATGAGTTCAAAACCAGCCTGGGCTACATAGTGAGTTTAAGGACAGCCTGGACTACATGGCAAGACACTGTCTCAAAAAACCAAACTCTGCCGTCTTAGTTGGGCATGGTGACACACATTTATAATCTCAGAACTCAGGAGGCTAAGGCAGAAGGACCACCTAGAGTTCAAGGTCAGCCTGGACTACATAGTTAATTCAAGGCCAGCCTGAATTACACAGCAAGACCTTGTCTCAAAAAAACAAAAGCCCCAAAACAAACAAAAATTGTCCTGTCTTCTTTCCTTTACAACCAAACTCTAAAACTGTAAACTTACTTTTCTCTTCTTCATCTGAGAGTGCCAACGATGGCATGGGCTTTGCTTTGGTTATTTCAACTCATTATGAATTATTATTTGCAGTATTTTTGAACTGAATATTTATGTTCCCTATCCTCAAATTTATACTGAAACTCTCATCTCTACGGTAAAGCTGTCTGGAGGTGAAGCCTTTGAGAAATAATTAAGTCATAAAGGTAGAGCCCTAATAAACAGAATTAGTGCTCTTTTGAGGAAAGGCTAGAGAACTTAGTGGCTCTCCACCTCCAAGTTCTCAAAAAGAAGTAAGTCTATGGCAATTTGTTCTAACAGCACCATATAATTTATTGCTACAATGTAAATATGGTTTGTCCCCTCTGAAACTCATGTGAAAATCTGATTCCCAAAGTAACAGTGCTGAGAGATCACATGACCCCTAAGAGGTAAAGAGGTCATTAATCACTTAACAGTTTACCCCAAGAATCATTTGAGCATGTGTCACTTCAACCAGTTGATTCTTGTATTAAATAAATCCAATAAAATTGTCATTTTAATATTTCCTGTTATGTTATCTTATAAAAATTAACCAAAAAACACAAGTTTTGGTCATCCTGTATTTAAATAATTGGACTATTAAGTGGTTAAGAGTGACTCAGGCCTGGGAGATAGCTCAGTAGAAGAAGCGTTTGCCTGGCAAGTGCAAGGTCCTGAGTTCAATCCCCAGAGATAACAGTGTGCAATGTATTTATTATTGAAACTGTCCTACTGATCAGTTTTGAAACTGTCTCACTGCTGTTTGTTTCTCAATAAAACTATTTTTTTTTAAAACTAATATTGATTAGACAAGATATCATGTCTGCATCTTGTCCTCTGAGTTCAATCCCCAGTACTGCAAAAAAATAAAAATAAAGGGGACTGGAGCTTTCTTACAGGACTGAATCAGCTCCCAAGAGAGCCCACGTGCTCTCATGCAGCGAAGCTGCCGCGGTTTCTTCCCTCCATGCACATATGCTTGCCCTTTCTCCTTCCCACTGTGATGAAGTAACACAGAGGCCTCCCCAGAAGCCCATCAAATGCTACTCACGTGGTCTTGGATTTCCAACCTCTAAATGTGAGTCAAAACAAACGTGGGGGCCAGTAACGGGACTAAACCCAAACCTCAGGTGTGCTAAGAATTATGCCACTGAGTTGCATCTTCTGACCTTTTGGGTTTTGTTACTATTTTGAGACAAGGTCTTGCTATGTATGGGTTCAGGCTGGTCGTGAACCCATTATGTAGCCCACGATGGCCTCAAACTCTATGAAGTCCTTCTGCCTCAGCCTCCCAAGTGCTAGGATTACAGCCACATGCCACTACGTGTGGCTTTCTTCTTTCTTTTTTGAGACAGGATCTCACTAAATTGCTCAAGCTGGCCTCAAACTCAACTTGCTGTCCTGAACAGCTGGAATTACAGAAATAAGACACTATGCCCAGCTAAAAGAAACTTCTTTTATTGATTTTTAAATTTTTATTTTTTAATCGTTTTATTTTATGTATTTAGTACAGGGCCTACAGGGTCTTACTACACAGATCAGACTCCTCTTGTTTTCAGCCTCCTAAGTGCTGGGATTACAGGGGGGCGCCACCACACCCAGTCTTAATTGTCAGTGTCAGCCTGACAAGGCCTGTATGGCAGGCCAGGGATCAAACCCTGGCCCCTTCATCTACCTAAGCAGGCACTTTCCACTGAGCTATCTGGCCAACCCTTCTTCTATTGATTGTCTTGCTGAGACAGGATCTCTCATCTGGCCTTGAGCTCACTGTGTAGCAGGCTGGTCTCAAACTTGCAACAACCCTCCTGCTTCAGCCTACCAAGTGCTGGGATTACAAGTGTGTGACCAAGCCTGGCAATAAATTTCTTTATAAATGTCAAGTATTCTATAATAGCAATAGAAAGTGGACTACACAGACAGAATGATCATTTCCATGAAATTGGGATGAAAAGGAAGGGACAGATTTAAAACCTATTTAAAATGTGGTATCCACAAAACTTGGCAAATAGGCACTTCTAGCAGAACGAGAGAAACAATTTCAAGTAAGTGTCATGGATGCTATGACTCTTCATCTCCAAAGCCTTCAGACACTACCTCTAAACCCATGAATAAAACAAAACCTACCTGGCATCTCTGTCTTGGAATGATACTGCCTGTGAGATGGCGTGAGATACTAAATACTATTTTATTTGTTATCTTATTATTTTAAAATAGTATTGTTTGAATTATGTAATAAAGTCAATAAATATCAAGTATAAAGCCAAAGAAATGTCCAAGCAGAAAAAACTGTGACAAAATAACTCAATCTAGGTTCCTGAGGGGCAGTAGGAAAACTCTTTTACAAACACAACTCTGTTTCATATTACTGTTCCACTCCTGAAGACCAAAATTTGTAACAAAGCCAACAAGGTCCTGAAAAGTCTGGTCCCAAACTATATACAAAGATGTTTGATAGAAGCAGGATATTGTAGAATCTGACATGTGAATACCTGGGTTTAACATAGTCTTTGCCATTTATAACTGTGATCCATGGCAGACTACTTAAGACTTTTTTTTCTTTTTTTTTTTTGCTTTGGTTTCCTCATTTGCAAAAGGGAGGTAATATGGTTATAAGAGTGGTAACTAGCACACTCTAAACATATATAAAGATTAATAATTGTTTTTTTAGGGATACCAGAAATTGAACTCAGGACCTCGTGCTTGCCAGGCATGCACTGCAGCACTGAACGATATCGCTGGTCCCAATAAGAATCAATAAGTTAACATTAATGTCAAAACTATGATACAGTATATATTGTACATATAGTAATACCATCTATTATTGTTCACCAGTTTTTATATCTTTTATACAAGCCCACTACTTTTACAATTTTTCCAAAGAACCATGCATTTTTCCAACTTGGCTTGCCGATTTGTACTTTTTAGAACATTCTTCCCCACTCTTTACCAAGCCCATTCATTCTTCATAATTCAGTTCACAAATCCTTCCCTCAGGGAAACCATTAACCACTCTTAAATCCCACCAAAACTTCATCTGATTCCCTCTTTTAGGTTTTTCTTCCAAAGCACTTGTTATAGTATATAAAATTGGGTTCAATACTTGTATTATCTCTGTCTTCTTTACTAATGGAAAAGCTCTATCACAGACAAGACTTAGCCAATTTTTCTAGATCCCAGAGCCTGAACAACACTTAAATAAAGGAAACTACTATCAAATATGAGAATTTTTAAAATACCAAGTATGAAAAAAAATGGTAATATATATTACTTTATACATTATTGTGTAGTTAGCCTGATCAACCCATTATTTTAGTCCAGTGAAGGTAAACCTTTGCATGCTCTCAATAATAACAGATCTGCTGAGCTATCTCCCTGGCTCCAGATTCAATAATTTGCAAGGGAAAGAATTCCTTTTCCTCACAGCTTTGGAGAATATGATGTCCCACATATTAAGAGTTGCATTTGGTCATGGCCTTGTTACTGCAACATAATATGGCAGAAGGTGAAAGGGGAAGAGTACCCAAAAAAGATGAGAGAGCAAAAGGGGGCTGAACTAATTTTTGTAACAAGCCACAGTTAAAATAACTAACCTACTCCTGAGATAAGTGCAGTAATCCATTCAAAAAGACAGAACCCTCATAATCTAATCCCCCTTACTAGGTCCCAGGCCCCAATCCCCAGTAATGTTACACTGAGAATTAAGTTTCCAGCACATGAACTTTGGGGGCCATATTTGAACCACATCACCCATCTAATGGTGAAAAACTCACTTGGGTTGTTTTAACTTACAAACAAAAAACTGCCTAGCCAAAATTTTCAATTCGACAGTTTTTAAAATTTAAAAATCAAGAGGAAATGTTTTACTGCAGCATTATCAGGTTCTTCTTTAATTTTGTCCAGAAGCTTCTGCTGTGGTGCCATTGCTTTGTTACAGCCACCATCCAAAGGTTCTTTCATTCTACTTTTTTTATGTAGAGGCATTCTTCAGTTTAAAACTAACAGATTTCTTCTTGACGACGGATAGCTCTACCCCTAAAACACAACATCAAGAATCAGTGCTCAGATTTTTCGTCCTTGTTTATATAAAAAAGGTTCAGGGATCACCAACTAAAAGCAATTCTGGGACCATGACTAACTGTATTCTTTCTTTCTGCTCCGTTAGTAGCAACCTTCACCTAAAAGTCTTCTCACTATTGTAGTATCTTTAAAGGTAAGTACTGGGGTCTTTATATGTTAGAAGTAGCTATGAGAGGAAGTTATGAACCCACCAGAGAGACTAACTCAAGAAATATTCTATACAGTAAATATTATGACTTGGGGGGATCCCTGTTTTCGTATTTCAAAGTGGGGCATATCAACCTTCACACTCTTACCTTAACTAAACCTTCACTGGGACCCTTCAACGACCCATGGACCACCTGTACCTTCCCAGGTCTCCTAGATGGTCAGGCCCCGCTAAACCCCGCGTCCTAGGCAAGCGCTTGCTCTACAGAGCTCTCTCCCTGGCCCGGCCATTCTTTTTTCTTTCTTTCTTTTTATTTTTTTTGGCGGAATGAGGGATTGAACTCAGACCCTTGCGCTTGCCAGGGAAGCGCTCATTCTACTGAGCTATCTCCCCAGCCCCTTAAACCTTGCTTCCCAAATACCTTCCCATAAACAAAGAAGTGTAAGGACCTTTCAGGAGAAAGTCCTTACCCCAAACACAGTACGTTGCATTGGAAGCGTAACTATTCAAACCACAGCAAAAAGCAAGCTCTCCAAACTTGTCATTATCCAAACAGGCAAGGATTCCACACACGAATCTGATGTTTTAAAAGCCTGTTCCAAAGAGATAAGAAGTTTGGACCACTCGCCACAGTCTGGTAATCTAACGGGGCTCCACCCGCCAGGCCATCACATGCGTTCCCCAGTCCCACTTTCCACCAACAATTCCCATCCCCGGGCCGTCAGCGCAGTCTCGGAGAGCGAGCCCAAGACGCGCAAGGGCTGCTCACCGCGCCCCGAGGGGACTGCACGCAGCAGCCGCCTCAGCGGTGGAGTCCGCCCCGCGCCGCCTAGTCACGTGGCACGCCGGCCCCGCCCCGCCTCCCGCCTCCCGCCTCCCGCCTCCCGCTTCCCGCCCTCGCCCGCCGCCGAGCCCGCGTCACCGCTCCCGCGGCAAGGCACACCCACCTTTTGTTGCCTCCCCACTCCTGGAACAGCCACGAGCGGAATTCGGATAGGACCCGGGGCCCCCACGCCAGGACTCAAAGTACCTTCTTACAGGAATTTTTACCTGATCCGTCAGAAAGCGACTCCGGCCAATGGCGCGTGTGCAACCTAAGTCTCCGCCCTTCCTTCCCGTCATGCCCCTGAGCTGAGTTGAGTGGACCCTCCAGCCCTAGTCTCCGCCCTTTTTTCCCATCATGCCCCAGAACTGAGTGGACTGTGGCATCTCTGGTCTCCACCCTCTTTTCCCGAAAAGCACCAGACCTGAGCTAAGTGGGCTTCCCGGCATTCATCTGGCTTCAGTTATGGTTGACTTCTTAAAGAGACCGCCGCTTGGTTTTGAAAAATGGGAGATTAGAGGAATATCAGAGGCATTAGATGGTGCTGACAGTTCCGCTTTATTCTTAATGCCCATATTGAGAAAGGTGGCCTGCGAAGAAAAATAATAATACCTGACATTCATTAAGCCAATTGCTTGCTAAGCACTTGTAATGTAATGTCCCCCTTAATCCTGACCATAAGCCTCAAATATAAATATAAATTTTTATCTCGAGAGATAAGTGACGATATTAATTTGCCAATGTCAAGATTTGGAGCGGGGCGTGGTGGCACATGCCTGTAATCCCAGCACTTGAACGCTGGGGCAAGAGGATTACGGAGAGTCAGAATCAGCCTGTGCTACATAGTGAAGTCAAAGCTAGCCAGAACTATACCTGATCTGTCACGCGCCATTGGCCAGAGTTGCTTTCTTTTTTTTTTTTTTTTCTTTTCAAAGTTTTATTGATAAACATATAGCAATGAGACTGGAGTTGCTTTCTGACGGATCAGGTAATAGTTGTTTTTTTGAGACCTTGTCTTTAAAAACAACAAAAAAGTTAAGACTTTTATTTTTTTACCTTCTTTGTCTAAGGTCGCACCATGCAGTTCAGGCTGGCCTTGAGCTCACTTTGTAGCCCAGGCTGTTCTCCAACTTGCAAAGATCCTCCTGCCTCAGCCTCCTGAGTGCTGGGATTATAGGTGTCAGTACTCTCCACAAGATTTGGTATTTTTTAAATTCAACATTGTTTCAGATATACATCCGTGATTTCTGAGGTTGTCTTTCTTTTATTTTGACTACTGTTATTCTATTTTATAAGTATGCTACAATTTGATCACCTACTTTTAATAGGACGCTTGAGTTGTTTTCAATTTAGGGTTATGAGGAATAATGCTACTAAACTGGGCATAGTGGCACATGCCTATAATCCCCACACTCAGGAGGGTGAGACAGGAGGATCACCGGGTTTGAAGTGAGCCTGGGCTAGCAACATAGTAACTTAAAGCCCAGCCTCAAACAACACAAAGAAAGGAGTAATGCCACTATAAACATTCTTATATTTGTGTCACATGAGCACACATTCCTGTTGGGTTAAGTAGTGAAACTGCTTATTATATAT